GCCCAACCCCCACCAAGCCGAAGAAAAGAAAAGGGGGGAAAAAAACGCCCCCAACGAAACTTTGCAACTGTCCCAGCAACAGGCAGAAGCCCTGCTACCTACCCAGATGTGGGGGAGCTTTCGAGATCCTTCTTCGGGGGAATTTCTAGGAGGAACCGGGCGAAAGCCCCCGACTTTCCATGCTGACAGGCGTCTGCAGACGGTCTGTTGCTCTTGTAATGAGATCCTGATTTTTCCCCCCCTTTTTTTTTCTTTCTCTCGCTCCTCTTTTTTTTCCCCTCTGGTGTGTGTGAGAGCAGGAAGTTGGAGCAGTCAGGCCGAGCCGGCTCACTTCCTTTACTGCATTATTCCCCAGGCGGTGTGTGCCACTCAGCCAGAAACCCAGGGAAGCCGCCCCCGACGCGCTCGGGCGATGACCCTCGCTGGAGGCGGAACCGGGGATCCTGCTTCTCCCCCAGGAGTCCCTGCGCTGGGGACTGCGCTGGGCACTGGAGTGGGGTCGAGCCTGCCCAGTTGGCCTAAGTGGGGAGGCCCGAAGTGGGGAGGCCGCTGAACTTGCTGTTTTCTGTCCGCCGGGATGAAAGAGTTGGGGGAGGGAGTATCGGGAGTGGGGTTCAGGGTTTGGTTGCTCTGGGGAAAAGGCTGCTTTTATCGTGGGAGGGGGCGTGATTGCTTAGGATGAGAAGATGTTGGGTGTGCAGAAACGGAGACAGGGTTTCGGTCTGGGATTTTTTTTTTTTTTTTAAGCCAGCGCTCAGAGTAGGGGGCCCACTTTGGGGGAAAGGATGCGAAGCCATAAACTGGAAGCCAGGATTCTCCTGGAAGAGACCTTTCTGGCCGTTCACTATGGCCTACCCTTCCCCGCCTGCTATGGAGCTTCGGAGGGAAACGACCGGTGACCACGGGCCCGAGTGATCGAGGTTTAAGAGGGAGGCTCGGTGGTCTCAAAACGGGACCCCTCGCCGCAATATCCTTCAGGGACGGCCCACCCCACAGGGCTCAGGCCCAGCTCAGACAGGAGAGCTTGCCCACGGCCCTGAGGCTGAGAAGAAGGGGGAGGGGGCCTAACTTCCGAACCCCCAGCCCTGTGCTCCAACCCCAACTGCTCACCTTCCAGAGCCCTCCATTTCCAAGCCTCCACTCCTTGGCAGCTCGGACCAATGGTTCTCAAACTTGAGCGTGCACCGCAGCACGTGGGGCGGGGGCTCGTGAAAACACTGGCTGCCTGGCCTCAACGGCCGGAGTTCCTGCCTGATTCAGCGGGTCTGGGGACGTTTTCAGCCCTGGCTAATTTAGAATTACCCGGGGAGTGTTTTGAAACCCAAACCAATTAAAGTCAGATTCCCTGGGGTCAGAGAGTGAGTCCTTTAAGGACCGCATTCTCAGACTTCCTCCACTTATTTGTTTATCTTTGTAATCTTTCAGAGAGAGTGTTTGTTTGCCTACTGTGGACCTCTAAAGGCCAGGGTTGTGTTTTGTATCTAGTCTTATCTAACCGGCCCCTACCCTGAGCTCCTGTCGGAGCACCTGCCTCAGAGGACAGGCCAGTTCACCTTTGCTTCCTGCTGGTGTGGATGTTCACTGAGAGGTGCGACCAGACCTCAGAGAAGGGCAGGGAGTAGGGCAAGGCAGGAGAACAGGGCCGAGGAGAAGCTATGGGGAAGAGGGCAGTTGATCACCTCCTGATTTTTCACAGCTAATTTTCCACTTTAGGGATTATCGCTTTAATCCCTAGTAGGCTTGTCCTGTCACTCAGCAGAGTTCACCCCGTGTCCCGTACCACGCAGCTGGCTGTGGACTGGGAGAATGTATTTATTATCCTTATCCAGGAGAAATAAAATCTCACACACACAATTAAGAACACCATGTTGCTTTTTTTTTTTTTTTTAGTATTTAACAACGCCAAACACGTATATTTTCAACCAGTGGCTTTCATGCTTTTTATTGCATTTTTTACAACAAATCTTTGTGGAATATTAATATGTAAGACATACAGGGTGTATGTATATGTTTTTATCAGGCCGTTTAATTGTTTTGAGGAAATGCCTCCTTGTCTAAAGTATTTCTGAAAGAAACACTTAAAAGTTTTTCTGGTGTTTTTAAATCAGCGATTTTCAACCGGTGCGCCAGGGCACACTGGTGTACCACGAGAATTTTTAAAACATGCAATACCTGACTATTTAGTCAGGGGCACTGACCTATTTTCCTTAGGTTGTCAAATACAAAAATGGCAATAGCCAACACAATAGCCGCCTGGTATGAATGAATTAAAGTTATACCTATTTTTTTTGTCAGATTGGCAAAAATATATATTTTTGTGTGTCGCAGAATTTTGATAGATTATATGTGCCATGAGATGAAAAAGGTTGAAAATCGCTGTTTTAGAATGTCCACACCCGTCCTTCATATGAATGAGGAATTCAGAGCTGACTCTGTTCTTCCTAAAGGCATGGAAATCACTTTTACTTTTAGGTGTCCACAGCTTCTGTCTTTTGCATTCTAAGGGAACACTGCTATCTTAGTGTGGGCTGCTATAATGAATACCATAGAATGGATAGCTTAAATGAGAGACATTTATTTCTCACAGTTCTGGAGGCTGAAAAGCCCAAGATCAAGATGCCAGCAAATTGGATTCTTGGTGAGGACCCTCTTCCTGGCTTGTAGATGGCCACATCTCATTAGTCCCCACATGGCCTTTCCTCAGTGTGCACACGTGGGTGAAGAGAGAGGAGGTTCACTTATAAAGGGCACTAATCTCATTATGGGAGCCCCACCCTAATGACCTCATCAAAACCAAATGGCCTCCCCAAGTCCCCACCTCCTAATACCATCACATTGGGGGTTAGGACTTCAACATGAATTTTGGGGAGACACCACATTCAGTCCGTCACAACTGCTAGTTGCTTTTCATACCTTCCTTCCCACTATCAAAAAGCAGCCAAGAGGTGTGGCATTTTATATTGTGTGCTCCACATTCCTCCTTCTATGGCTTTGTTGTAAAACAGACAGTTGGGATTGTATGGATTATCAGTAAGATTTCTTTTGGAGCCCTCTATAGCAGGTGACAGGGCCTAGGGTCATTCATTTCTGCCGGCCAAGCTCTCTCAGCTTTGATAAGAACAGCAGAGATCATACCTGAGATTGGAGTTAGTGTGGTGTGTTGGAGGGTGCTTGGGGCAGAGTGGAGGATGGTCAGCCCAGCTAAACTCTCTGGATGAAGAGTGGAGGAGGGCTGGGTCTCCAGAAGAAAAATCAAAGTCCTAGTTCCAAAAGAAAGGACGTATTAGCTTTTGCTGGGATAACACTATGTCACAAACAACCCACCACTCAATGGTTTACGACAAGTGGGTCTGGGCTGCCTGGTTTCAGGTCTGCTTCATACATCTTCTCATTCTGGGACCCAGGCTGGACTTGGGGCAGGTGGTTCTCCAGGAGTGGAGACAGATGATGCCTCTTAAAACCTCTGCTTAGGACTAGCACACGTTCACTTTGGCTACAATCTATTGGGGACAGCAAGTCATATGGCCAAGTCTAAAGTCAATGGGACAGGGAAAAGTACGGGGGTGGGGAGAGAAAATTCTGAACAAATAATACAAGAGGAAATAGATGCTGGGTATACAAAAAAACACATCTCAGGTCCCTCATACTTAAACATTCCCCAATGTAGAACAGAATGGGATGCTATGAAAGGTTAAAAAAATATATACAGATGAATGAGAAATATATACAGATGAATTATATATACAGATGAATTAGATAGGGCAGGAGAAAAAAATTGAATTTTAGAATATATAAAATTATTCTAGAACACAGCAAAACAAGTAATATATGAAACTAAGGACTTGATGGTATTAAATTTATGGATTGATGAGTTTTGGTAGAAATTCAAAAGTGGTGAGCCATCATGATTTCGAGGACTGCCTCAATATTGAGGGAATATGGCTTAGAGTTGGGAATGGATAGCCAAAGCCTGATGGGAAGGCAGCCCACTCTGGTGAAAAGTATACATTTGGAAGCAGGAACTTTGGGATCCAGTCCCATACTGACTTGTTCTAGTTATGTGACCTTGACTAAGTCACTCGCCCTCTATGAGCCCGAGTGAGCATCGGTTTTTACTGATTTTTACAGTGAATGCCAATTTTACATTAAAACAATATGTTATAGACTAGGACTCAAAAACTTTCATGACCTTCTTTTGAAAGAGTATTTAAAAGAAATTTATAGACTTGCAGGCAAACCCCGGGGAGCCTGCATTCTCCCTTTTGTGTTGTTAGCGGTCTTTCAGTGGGCACATTTGAGAAGTATTAATTTGGACCATCCCTTTGGCCCTCAGACTGGACATCCAGGAACCAGGGTTGACAAACTACAGCCCACAGGGCCGGCACCTGTTTCTATGTGACTTTCAAACGAAGAATAATAGATTTTCCCTTTTTTAAAAAATATAATTGTGGTAAAAAATGTAACATAAAATTTACCATCTAATCTTTTTAACTATATGGTACCATAGCATGTTAAGTATAGTCACAACTTTTTTGGCTTGCAAAACTGAAATTCTATACCCCTTAAACACAATTCCCCATTCACCCTTACAAGCACTATTCTACTTTTTGTTTTTGTGAATTTGACTATTTAGATACCTCATGTAAATGGAATCATACAGTATCATGAGTTTTAGCTTATTTCACTTAGCATAATGTCCTCAAGGTTAACCCAGATTGTATCACATGACAGGATTTCCTTCCTTTTCAGGGTGAATAATGTTCCATTATCTGTATATACCATAACTTTTTTTAACAATTCATCTGTTGATGGACATCTAGGTTGCTTCCACCTCTTGATTATTGTGAACAATAAGAATTTACATTTTTAAATGGTTGAAAACAAATAAAAGGAAAAATAATATTTTGTAACATGTAAAAGTTATAGAAATTCAAGCTTTATAGGCACACAGCACTCTCACTCACACACTGTCTAACGCTGCTTTTGCGCTACAGGGCCATGGTTGAATAGTTCTGTCAGAGACTGTATGGTCTATAAAGCTGAAAATATTTACTTTTTGGCTCTTTACAGACAAAGCATGTCAACCCTGGCATAGGCCATCGGAGACAAGTGAGATTCTGTCTTGTTTTCCAGTTTGATTTAAATTGCATTTTCTTTCTTATTCTAAAGAAGGTCCTTGGTGTCTTTAACAAATACCACATCCAGGAACATTATCTTCACAGGAAATCAAGTCATTGTGCTTTATTTAATTCCTCTTACTTGGTCTTCTGATGAGGTGCAGAATAGCTGGCTTGCATTGTCCTAGTCCCTCAGACAGCCCTTCAAGCCTTTATCCAGTCTCTGAACAGACCTGAGCC